GTCCGCCGTCCGCGGGGCCCCTGCAGGCCGAGGTCTCCCTCAGGCACCCCTGACGGGGGGAGAGGGGGGCTCCCCGCCGCCGGGGCTCCCGCAGCTTCTTCTCTCTTGGCAGCGACTGCGCGGAGGAGAAGGCTCCCGCCAAGGGGGACGGGGGTGCGGAGTGCGCCATGCGAACCCGCAAGAGGAAAGCCGATGTGGCCACGGTGAGTGCGGGGCCCGGCCCGGCCCGGCGGCGGGACAGGCGCTGGCCTGCGGGGCACCGGGGTGGGCCTGCCCCGCCGCCCGGCCCTCGCCGCCTTTTGTTGGGTGGCTGGGGGCCATGCGGGGCTCTGGGTGCTGGGCCAGCGAGGGGGGGGGGATGCGAGCCCATCGTGGTGGCCAGTGGGTGCTCATCTTGCAGTTCATCCTCCTGAAATCATCTATTCCTCTTATTTTCTTTTTTTTTCTTTCTGTAGTTCTTGCAGGATCCCGATGAAGAAATTGCCAAAATAGAGATGACTAGAAAAAAGCAGTATGAAGAGCAGGTAACTGGTCTGGCTTTAGGTCATGCTCCTGTAATCTCACTTAACCCTGTTATTGTCTTGCAGTACCTCATTATTATTATTGCCAACGTGGTGCAGCAGATGCACAGCTCCCACACGCTGTATGGCAATGGGGACTATCAACCCTGGCTGATAAAGAGTGTAAAACACATCAGGTCATACAGGTTGCTTTGGGGTCTTCGCAAGACGTGTGGCCTGTGTCGCTCTAAAACACTGTGTTAATACTTCAGTGTATCCAACAGTGTATCCCAGTGTCCTGGGAGTGCAAGGGTGCACCTTACAGAAGCCTTAATATGCTGTTAGGCCTACATGGAGGAGCTCTGCAGTGATCTCTTCTGAGAGTTGTGAGAGTACAGTCATGTGCTTACATGCTGTAGCTTGCAGGCCTAAGCACACAACAAACAGAATCATCTTTTGAGATGTCATGTCTCTACTTATGTATCACCAGAGAGGAAAGATTCCTCTTTCCTTTTGCCATCAACTCCATTCCTATTGACAAGTTTTTTGACAAGTTGTTATCAGACTGACAGAGAGTATGAGGTTCCTCATTAGAGCTTTGAAGCTTATACTAGATCTAATGCAGTAGTAAAATAGGCTTCGTTTCTCTGCAAAACAAAGGGCTAATTTCTGTGAAGTCATTTAGCTATGGAAATGCAGTGGAGGTTTGGAGTGACCATTGCCAGTTTTCTCAGTGAGATATTTAGAATGATCTGAGTTATGAAGTCAAAACTAACTTCAGTAGTGTCCTCTTGCTCCCTTAGTGCCCTTTCTATAATCTCTGAACCTGAGCTGCTATTGGTATCTGTATTGGATGCTGTGGTGGTATATGGTATTGAAAGCCTGATGCTTTCATACATTGAGATGCCCACTCTAAATAAAATGGAGAGTAGCCTGTTTTCTCAAATAGGTTTATTCCTCTTTCTTTTTTTTTCTGCATGCACATGCTTGCTCAGTCACTGTCACTAGGACTTCAGCGTGCTAATGGACACGCAGGGTGATACTTAAGCTGCAAAAGTCACGACTGGGGAGTACAGACCGTACTCATTTGGTACGCAAGGCTATGCATAATGTGGCACATCTAACCAGAAGTGGCAGCTGGAAGTTCTAAGACTAAAGTGCTACCATAACAGATGGGCATCATTGTTTGGAATGGCCTCTGCTTGTTGCAACTGCGTATACTAGTTATCAGTCAACATATTAAGCAGGGCTCAAATGGTGAGCATTTAATGAGGGGATCTCTCCTTCCCTTCTGTCTTTCTTTTGTGCAGTATATTAAACTAATTTCTCACTTCTGACAAGGAAGAGCTGCCTGTCCTTCACCACAGCTCTCTCCTTCACCAAAAGATTCATTTTCTTTGAGCTGAGCAAGAGCTTCTTGTGCACGTTTATTGCATAAGGGTAAGGTGTCATTAAAAATCCCTTAACAGGGACCCAATTGTACCTTTTTCCAGAAAGACAGTGATAAGAAACTTCAAATATGTTTTGCATACATTGACCTTGAACTTTAAAAGGTGATAAAAACTTCCAATTTTTTGTTCTTGTTTGTGTTCTTGGCCTTGTAGCCATTCAGTGTCACTTCAGGAATGATAGATAAATTAAAATTTAGATAGTAGGCATCCAAAATATCTACTTGAGATTTTTTTTCAAGTAAAGCTTAGGATACTCGTGGGATTTGGGCCTTTGATTCTGTAAACCATAAATAAAATGGGTACCTGTGTATCAGTCCCTACACAGAGAAGGTTTTTTGTTGTGACAAAGTAGCCAGATTGTTACAGATCTGTTTAAAAAAAGCTAACATTTGGCTGCACAGCAGCAGCTCTTCAGTCTATGGTGTGACACAAGCTATTCTCTGATATAAATTGCCATGGGCCACTAATGAGAATATGTTTACGGTTCCAGCAGCAGTATAGCAGGCTTGTATGATAGCTAGTGAGATAGTTATTCTGTTGAGGCACAACAATTCTAAAATGCAAGTAGCTATAAATCCACTGCAGCCTATACCACATGACTTCTACATTAAATAAATTGTTTACTGACACTAGTTTATGCACAAGGCAAAATATCGTAGTCACATCCCACTTTATGGTATCTTCATAGTCAATTCATTAGTTTGCTTCTGTTGAGCATAAGGCCTGAGTTCTTAATTAGGATGCCGTTACCCTTTATATGATGAAAGGGTGGCTATATCATCAGGTTTGTGACAGCAGAATATTGCATAAATTCTGTGTTTGATTTTAGAGAACTGGCACTGCTGTAATTCTGCTAGCAATTCTCAGATTAATTCTGGCTGCTTTCTGTGGATGGATACACTTCCAAGGCTCTGTGTAAAACAAAATTCATCTAACTAGATTAGAGTCACCTTTACAATTGTCATGCAGATTACATGGCCACCTCCATCTAGAGCGGAGAACTGAGTCTAGAGGTTAGTTTCTTTAGATGAAACTAACAAATGCTTTCAGGTGAAAAGAAGATGGAGTAAACTCTCAGAAAGTAGTTTTTGATCAATTTCTCACTAGACATTTTTCCAGAATCCCATCTTACTGTTGTCAAAATGTTCCACCTGACTGGTTTGAAAATATTCTCCAAAAAGCTTCTTTAATCTAGTTTATCTTTGGAAGATCCAATTAAAGAAAACAACCTAAAAAAAAAAAAGCTTACAAGTCTTCAGACAAATAGATAAAGAATGTCGACTATATCCAGGTTGAGAGCTTGACTTGGCTCAAATCTGGGGTGAGAAAATATTCAGATTCTTTAGAAAATTAAAAGTAGTAGAAGCTCCTGTGCTATTCAGAAAGAATTTGAATAACTTAATAATGTTGCTCTTCTCTCTCCTTTTTATTAATTCTGGAATTGCTTTCTGATGGCAAAGAAAACCCCATTACTTCAAAATAATGCATTCTCTGAGTGAAAAATGGTTAGAATTACAGGTCTTACTATTTCTGATGGGCAAACTAAGGCTGCAGTCTAGGAGTCAATATCAATGTCTCTCTGTTACAAGGTGCTGCTTTTTAGGGTGAGGCAAACAGACTTGTCCCCCTCCTGTTCCTCTGCCTTCGATTTCCATGCTGAAAATCCTCTGACCTTGCTGTTTGGATGCAGTTCTGGGTCACCCTCTTGCTCTGCTTTCCTGCTGCCCTTCTTGCCCTGCTCTGTGGAAGCTTGTTCTGGTGGCTCCCAGCTCATGGTTTGATGCACGAGTATCTTGGCAGCTTCACTGAAGGCTCTGCCTGTAACCAGTAACCCCAACAGTCACTACCTGCTCCATTTTGTCTGGCCTGTGTGTCTGACAGATCTGTTTTAAATGATCATTCAATACATCAGTGAATGATGATGTGCTGCAGAAAACTGAGGTGTGGGAATGTTTGAGCTTGAAAGAAAAAAAAGGACTTCTGAACTCCTGTTTTTTCTTCTTTTGGAGCTGTATGGGCTTCACTGCTCTGATGGACTTCTTTGGTTGCCTGCTTTCTGCCCTTTTTTGTGCTCCTTCTCCTAACAAGCCTTCTCATGTCCTCAGTTCAACTATCCCAATCTGCATCTAGTTCTCAGGTCTGAGAGACAGATCTGTATCTCTGATCAATTGTTGTTCCTCTACCTGGAATATTACTGAGGATGTCACCAAGCTTTCTTGCTGGGCTCCATCTATATTTGAAGAGACAGTTTTTCCCCTTTGATTTTTGGCTTGCACCCTACTCGGCTCCTATTTGCCTCAGAACTAAGCCTGGGACTGTAGGATTTCCTCCATTAGGCTGCACAGATTCTCTGTAACATCTGTCACTTTTTGGCAGCTCTCTGCTTTCGGGTTGGCTCAGTGCAAGCCCAAGCGAAGCTCTTCATCATTTCCTCACACCCTCCCCACCTTGAACTGTTTCTTTTTTCAGTGGTGGCTCCCATTTCCTTACAGTTACAGTGTGATATAATGCAGTTTCTTGGTGGTGTTTCATAGTTTGATTGAATGTCTTGCTACATCTGCTTTAAAGGCTTGACTCTGATTAATATGCTTATTCCCTCAACCCAAATCCACACCAGAGCTATAGTGTTCCCTCACTTATGTGAATTCAGACTCCTGTCTCCCTTCCTGGTAGAGTCTTGCTTTTGAGGGCCCTGCACATTTGTTTCCTTCTTGTCTCTAGCCAAGCTATATCTTTTCCTGTTGCTTGCATCTTTTTTTCTAGTCATATTAGTGAGTGATATTATCTAACAAAAAAACCTTAGTTTTCACTTCTTCTGAAAACACCTAAGAGGCTCTTGACCCTGGATTTATATTTCCTTATAGAAGACTGGGGGCATGAAACATCTTAAATCAATCGTCATTGTTGCTGCAGTGTAGAGTGTGAGGTACCTGCTTTGGTTGAGAACTCTGTGGAGCAGACACCTTGTCCTTCAGAAGCTGCTGGTGTAGTAGGCACCTTTCAAGAGATATAGAACGTACTGCTTTTCTGTTGGTTTGCTGATTAACTGATAAGGCAGCACTTCTCCAAAGGCTGTTGGCAGCTGGGCTTGCCGTGCAGATTGGAGGACAAAGTGTGACTAAAGTCTAGTTTTGAGGGAGGACAAAAATTAACTTTAAGCAATGCTGATGGGACACTTTTATTCAAACTTTCAGTTTGTAAGGAATCTGTCATTTTTAAGATAAAGATACTATTCCCTATTTTTGCCTTCCCCCACCCAAATTAGGACATGACATGGCTGGGTATGTAGCTGGGCTAGATTTGCATGTAGAACTCCAAGAAAAAAAACGACCCATCTGTGTGTAAGTAACTCGCAGTACAAAGCAGCCTTAGCTGTGAGAGAACTGTGAAATGTGGTTTTGGTTTCGTTGAGTCAGTGGTTTCTGTTTCTGAAACTGGTGCTAGAGGGTAGCCATTTTGCTGGAAAGTGATGTCATTTGTAGCAAGGACTGGGCAAAAATCAGGTGTGGAACCTTCTTTGCAAGAGGCAAAATTGCATGTAGAGCATTTTATTTGTTAGTACCTAATGATTATTCTGATTTTTTTAATTTTTTTTTTCTTGAAGCATATTAGGAATCTTCTTAGGGAGTTCTGTCCTCTAAGTGCTGCAGAACAGATCAGTTTGCAGCAAGATGGCTGACTTCACTGTTAGGCAGAAATGCCAAACTTTAATTTACTTAGATGTGATGGGGCTGGCTTTGTATTCTACCACAGAATAAAACAAGTAGTAATTTCCCAGGGAGCTGTGTGAAGCATACACCAAGATCTTGTTAGGAGTTAGGCAGGAAAAAAGTAAACCTAAACTAAAAAAAAGTAAACCAGAACTAAAGTCCTGGTCCAAATAAAAGGTGAAGTGTCAGATGGCTGATATTTGCAGACCTTGGCAAAATTCTGTGTATGAAATGGTCAACTTGGTACTTTAGTGGCAGTAACTTAACATGTACTTGCTTTATTCTGAAAAGAATAAATAAGTGTTCTGGTTTTTCATCTTAGCACTGCAGGATGACTAAGTAAGAAAAATTCTATGAACTGTTGTTTTGCTGTGTTCACTGTCAAGGCTGATTTGCATGAAAGTGGACTTCAGGCATTGCATCTACATATTCCTGACCTTGTATTTGTGTAATTATAATCACAAATTGGGTTTTAAAGTTCCATTTGCTTATTCATTACCTGGAGGCAAGTATCTCGCTTTCATGCAAAATATTTTTGGTAAAAACAAAATGCTACATGACAATAGGAGACTCTGATTTGGATATTCTTCCATGAAACTATTGCGGTCTTTCAAGATAACAGGGTAGATGTTCTTCAGCTTTAGTTGCAAACTTTCTCTACTGTGAAAATAGGCAACACCCCTCTTTTGTTCTTCAGCTTTAGTTGCAAACTTTCTCTGCTGTGAAAATAAGCAACACCCCTCTTCTGCTCAGCACTGGTGGGGCCACACCTGGAATACTGTGTCCAGTACTGGGTTGTCCAGTACAAGAGAGACTTGAACATACTGGAAACAGTCTAGCATAAAGATGATGAAGATGATTAAGGGACAAGAGCATCTCTCCTTTAAGGAAAGGCTGAGGGAGCTGGGACTGTTTAGCCTGCAGAAAGGAAGGCTTGCAGAAATGGTATCAATGTATAAAATGCCACACCTGGAATACTGTGTCCAGTACTGGGCTCTCCAGTACAAGAGAGACTTGAACATACTGAAAACAGTCCAGCAAAAAGATGATTAAGGGACAAGAGCATCTGTCCTTTAAGGAAAAGCTGAGGGAGCTGGGACTTAAACAGTCCCAGCCTGCAGAAAGGAAGGCTTGGAGAAATGGTATCAATGTATAAAATACTTGAAGGGAGAGTGTAAAGAAGATGGAGCCAGGCTCTTTTTAGTGGTGCCCAGTGATGGGACAAAAAGATTGATGCAAACTGAAGCACAGGGAGTTCCCTCTGAACATCGGGAAACAATTATTTTTAGTGTGATGGTGACCAGGCACTGATACATGTTGCTCAGGGAGGTTATGGAGCCTCCATCTCTAGAGTTACTTAAAAACCGTCTGGGCATGGTCCTGGGCCACTGAGCCTCCATCTCTAGAGTTACTTAAAAACCATCTGGGCATGGTCCTGGGCTATAGGTGGCCCTGCTTGAGCAAGGGGGTTGGACAAAGTGACCTACAGAGGTCCCTTTCCATCTCAGTGATTCTGTGCAGTTTAAATAGAAAATCATAGTCTCTGACATAGAAACTGTATAGCTAAAATGGTTGTTTAAAAAAGCATGATGTAAAATCTTGCATTTCATTTAATAGCCATCCTGGAATAATGTTCATAAAAATGCCCATATGCTGATTCCTACTCCGGATAAAGATGACGATCCAGTTGGTGTTGATTACTCTCACTTTATACATCTAAGTGTTGTTCCAACTAGAGCTTCACCGTTACCAGTTCTAGGGTAAGTGTGCCATTTTGCTGCTGCTCATCTGCCTTCTTTTGTCTTGTGCCTTAAGACTAAACATATTGATCTGTCTTAGCTGGGCAAACAGAGAGGATGTATGGAAAAACATGATAAACAAAGAAGAGACATATGTGAGGGATAAACTTTATATGCAAAGGCACCCTCTTCTGCAACCTAAAATGAGAACAATCCTTCTAGACTGGCTAATGGAGGTAAGCTTTTCTGTGCTTGTGAGTATTTCAAGTGTGCTGTTGTTGAACTGTTCTAGTAACTGTCGTGATCTTTGCATAACCCATTTAGCCCTAGATGCTTGTCTTCATCTTGAAGTTTGTCAGTGGCACCAAACTTAAAAAAAGAATACATAGTCCAGTGAGTTGACAGTGTACAAAGTGACAATATATTCTGCTATTCATTTGGATTGATAGGGGATAATAATCAGTTTTTCCCTAGTTACCGTAGATGTAAGGTTTTTAAGGTCACACTGCAGCTAAAAGCTGCCCAAATGGTTATGAAAGTCACTGTAAGAAGGAAGGAGCGGTGGCTCAGAGACCAGATGTGTCTTTCAACCACTATCTGATATTGGCATCTAGAATGTACTACATATCTTTTGTTGTTTGGATGACTTGGTGGCACAGTCTCTGTTCTTAATTCTGAAGTATTTGCGGGAATTTTCTCTTTTGAGGTGTTGGAATGATGCATCTTTGCGAAAATGAGGAACTGATGTTGTGACATTGTTAGAACATGTGCTTGCATTTCCTAAAAGGGTTTTCACTCTGATCTCTTCTTTTAGGAGGAGTTGCTGTAGTGGCAGTCATCTTGTGTCAAAGGAAACTGTTTAACTCATGCTCTTACTTAACATGTTACTTCACAATAGCAGTGAAGCAGAAAGCCAATATTAATTTTATGTCTAGCTCATGGGGGTTTTTTCTAATACATCTGTAGCATCTGTTTTTGACTCTGTAACATTGTTCTTGACCTTTGTAATCTCTGATGTCTCTCCAGGTTTGTGAAGTCTACAGGCTTCATAGAGAAACTTTTTATTTAGCACAAGATTTCTTTGATCGGTTTATGGCAACACAACAGAACGTTGTAAAAACACTATTGCAGCTTATTGGTATCTCTTCTTTATTCATAGCAGCAAAGCTTGAGGTAAGTATCCCCAGCTTTACTTAAACATAAAAATGTGAATGGACAGACAGCACACTTACTGTACGCTAGATGCGTTTTGGCAGGCTTCATGGAGTCTGTTGCTATGAATTTTCAGCTGGGAGAAAGGGGAAAAAATATTCCTTTTTTTCTTTTCAAAATTCCTCCTTTTTTTTTTTTTTAGAAGTGGCTAAAATTAAGACTAGATAACATCATAGTATGTCTCTTTAATCTTTAAAGGATAGTCTTTTCAGTGTTAGAATAAATCTGAAGTTTTTAATTGCTGTTGCTAAATGAGTTTTTGGCTGGCTGCTGTATACAGAAACCACTTGTTGCAATTGTCGTGAGTGGAATACCTACTGGATGATAGTCTGAGCTATTTTTTATTTAATGGAACAAGTTGAACTATTAAAATACATCGTGCTTTTTAAGTTCTTACTGTTTGTCTTTTAAGAGGGCTATTATTCTTCATTCTGTTCTTCTCAAGCAAGGGATAAAAGGCCTTTTCTGTAGCATGTATAAAAAAAGTCTGGGTGTTCGTTATGATACAATCTCAGTGGTGCTGCAGTCAAACATAATGCATGCTGTACTGATCCATCAAAAGTGAAAGGTGAAGGCTATCAGGAAGAAGGTTGAACAAGAAATCTGTGTATATTAAAGGCAGATTAGAGCACCATGAATTAGGATGGGGGATTGTTTGTTTTTTTTTTTTCCCCCCTCTGTTTTGAGATGAGATGCTGAAGTAGTGGTGTTTTGTTTTAACATGTGAGAATAGCTGCAACCTATTCCACAAAATAATACTTGATCTCCTATCTTTCAGGAAATCTATCCACCAAAGTTGCACCAGTTTGCCTACGTTACAGATGGAGCTTGTACAGAAGAAGAAATCCTCAGTATGGAATTGATCATTATGAAGGTAATATTTCAAAGTGGAACTAGTTCTACTTCAGTTTTTAAAAACGCATAGCGTAATCAGACTAAAAGCAGAGAGCCTCAGTTAATCTTGTGTGCTGCTAAGAGGCAATTTCCTCTTTCTAATTAGAAAACAGTGTTCTCTAGGTAGCACGTGATTTAAAGCATCCACCAGTATGTGCGTATTAATAAAATGAATCGTTCCCCCACCCTATCAGCAGGAGGGGGTACAGGAGAGAATTAGATTTGTGTGTTTCAAAGATGCCTTGATGAACACTGAAGGAATTACAGCTTCTGATCTGGAGTAAATAAAGTTGCATGGTTTGAGTTAGGAACAATTTATAAATACTGAAGTCTTGTGTGTGTCTACTCTTTCAGGCTCTTAACTGGAACTTAAATCCACTGACGGTTGTATCATGGCTAAACATTTACATGCAAGTTGCATATTTAAATGAGCTTTATGAGGTATTGCTGCCACAATATCCACAGCAAATATTTGTACAAATAGCAGAGGTAAGAATGATTTCTTCCTCCAAATGGCTGTTTCACCTGGGGGGGAAAAAAGTATTCTTGTGATACACTAATTTAAACAACTCTTATCTTGTAGCTCTTAGATCTCTGTGTGCTGGATATCGGCTGCTTGGAGTATACCTATGGAGTGCTTGCGGCTTCGGCTTTGTATCACTTCTCCTCATCAGAGTTGATGCAGAAAGTTTCAGGTATTGGCACTTATAAACTAAGTCTAATGAATTTACAGACGTTAAGCCTTCATTCAGACAGATAAACCTATGTCTTATCTTCCAGGTTATGAATGGTGTGAGATAGAGGAATGTGTAAAATGGATGGTTCCGTTTGCAATGGCTATAAGGGAAGTAGGAAGCTCCAAACTCAAACACTTTAGAGGCATAGCTCCTGAAGACTTGCACAATATACAGACGCACATAAACAGCTTGGATTTGCTGGTATGTATATGCATAATGAAGACAAGCTGACAATAAAGGCTTCTACATATTGTTTTTTCTTTGGTTAGAACATACAGTAAACTCGAGTGAAGCATTATCAGATTGAGAGTGAGTGTGTGCAGATGGTAAAAGATGTAAGGTTGTATTCCACTTGCAAAATTCTTGGGACAGAGACCTGACTTGTTCAGTATTTAGTTTAAAAAGGTGATTGTAAGTTAAGCTTCTCATCTCAAATGGCAAATAATTACTCTAGAAACCGGAAGCACATTTTTACCCTTTGGGATGCTTCAAATATTGTATGTCAGACCTTTCTCTTTAGGAAATACAGGTAACATAACCTTGTCCGGTGAAAAAGAGAAAATAGACTTATCACTTAAGACTGATCTAGTGGGATTGTTAGTCACGGTGGTTGACAAGAAGTTGAGCAAGAGTGGGTTTTAGCATGAGAAACTTGTAGAGGATCAAAATCTTGTCCAACAAATTGTAGTTAATCTAAGCTATTGGAGAGATATTTCTAGTTAGGTAATTTAGTTGTAGTAGAAGTTAAAGCTCTTCCTGTTCAGTTGCTTCTGAACTTTGCTTTCTTGAATATAAAAGTACCACAATGCTGATAATGGGATTCCAGAAGTTAATACTGACCTCTTGGGGTTTGTATTAACTAACTCTTGCCTGATTTGTCAGGTACTGTTGGGTGGGGTTGAATATAGATATGCATTTCCAGATTAGTGATCTATGAAGTTATAAACCAGTGAATTATATTGATCTGTTGCATAGATACACCAAAGTAAAGATTTATTCCACCCCCCCTCCTTTTCCTGTGCTTTCAGGACAAAGCTCAAGCAAAACAAGCCATATTGGCTGAGCAAAATAGGACTTCACCTTTCCCCACTGGTGTCCTTACACCACCACAAAGTAGTAAGAAACAATCTTCTGGACTGAAAACAATATGACTTTAGAAACTGTTGACAGACAATTTTGCTGAAGTGCCTGTTCTGCTGGTTCTGACTCTTGCTCCATTACGGAAATGCTGCCAGTGAAGTTCATAAGCTTTTATGGAATCTGAAAAGGAAACCTTACTTTTTTCATGACAGATTTTTTTTTCTATTTGAAATATTTTTATTGAACATTAAAATATTTTAAAGAAATGGATCAAGTACACCAGCCACTTAAAAGAACACCGAAGAGTGCTCCAAATGCTGCTACGGAGGGTGATGCTTGATGTGACCAACTGTTCAGAAAAAGGGCTTGAAGTTTAGATTAGTTTTGTGCCTGTTCATCCTTTGGATAATCTGCAGTCACACTGTCCCCTGCTGACAAATGGGCAAAAAGTGCTGTGGAAGACAACATTTCAAAGCCTCTTTTTCAAATGGTTGGCTTACAACTTGATGCCTTTTTAAAAACTCTTTATTGTAAATGCTGCTATGTCTCTGTGTATCCATTTTTAATAAAAATGCTGTCTAAGACAGCTGGTTTTATGATATTCCTATTTTTCTTTTATGGTTAGCAAAGGTTTTTCAGACTGTGACCACTAGTAGTGTGGGAGTTGGGGATGAATAATGTAGTAACTGTGGCTTTATTTATTTACCACTACTGCTTTATCAATTAAAACTTCCTTTTTGGATACTAAGATAAAGTTGTCATGTTGGGCTACTTGGATTTCCCTTGGCCGGTTGCAGATGGCCAGGGAGGGGATAATAAACATGACAAGTATGTGGGGGAATCCTTCCACAACATGCTTTCTAATGATCAGTGTATTGGGGAATTCTTGGATAAAATTGTCTGGATTGTTACGCTTAATAGCAAGACGTAATCAGTGGGGAAAGCCTGCCTTTTCTTGAAACATAATCATTTAAGCTTTGGGATTTTGGCATAGGCTTTGACAACTAACTGTCTTATGTACAAAATTGAATTCTGGAATGGTGTGTGCCTTTTTGCAGGAAGAGTTGTCCTTCTTGACTTTTGCAAGGTTTGAGAATCTGAGAAGTCATAGTACGATGTCTTTCCGGAAAGTCATAGTTCTGGAGAAAAGGGAAATAGAGAAATAAATGTAAAAAATGGTTGCTTGGGTTTTTTTTCTCATGATATTCACTTTGAAGGACTGTTCAACAACATCGAAAACTTCTGTGAGACTACCAGAATTCATCATGTGCTGTAGGTAACCTAAATGCTACAACACTTATTTCAGGAAGCTTCTACTCTGCTGTTGGCTAATATTTCTAAACATTAGTTCCCAGCAAGGCTGCTTTTTATTATTTTTTTTTTAAGTTATTCTCCCTGTTGCTCTTCCCTGACCCAATATTCTGATAAATGTTAAAGCTTTAATGTAATAAAAATGCCTATGGTAACTAATGGTAAGCAAATTATTTGGTGTTGCTGGCTTTGATTTTTTCCCTTGCAATGAATGGTTGTAAGTTCTGTGCTAACAAAACCAGTGTAAATGTTAGCTCAGCAAGCCTGCCAGTTCAGAGAGGTCTTAAGGTATCCTAGAGCAAGAAATGTTACATTTGCCTATTATTGAAAAAGTTTGTAACATTGGATGGATTGTCAAGACATGTTTTTGGTACTTAGTCCTTCAATTTAAAACTCAAAACTGGGGTTTGAGGGAGAAACAATAACCCTCCTGAAAGGTACTCTCCAGGCTTAATTCCTGAATCACCAGCCAAGCTTCAGTACTAGTTACTTTGCAGTGCTTGCTCTGAGTTTCAGCTGTTTCTTAAAAAAAAAAAAAAAAAAATTAAAGAGTTTGAAAAATCATGTTTAAACTGTAACTGACCCCTTATAAATGGGGATTGCATTTTCTGTATGACTTTTCCCTGTTCAGGGAACTATTCTGTAATAACATTACAGATAATGATGAGCTCTAACTTTCAGTTTAAGATGGTTTGAACCAGAAAGTTATATTTTAGTCAAGAGTGAATGCAGGTGGTCTGTGTGTTCTTGGCTGTGTGGGAAACTTTTATCTGAGAGAGATATATTTATCTATGAATGAAACTGTTCAGATAACAGGCCTCTGTCTAAATTGGAGTTCTGCTTTAGGTGGTAAACCTGCTAATTTTATAATTTCCAAAAAAAAAAAAGATCAACCTGCTTCATTTTGATGGGGAGCAGCCTGTTGAGAGTGTGGAGATCACGACTTTGCATCTTCCCAGGTAGGAATGCAATCACGTGCTGGAGATGCGGTACTTTCCAGCGGGAGTGACTATTTTCTTACTTTTTCATCTTTATCCCCTGCTTTAAGAATCTTTGTTTCTGGTTGTCTTGCAGTGCACGTGGCTGCTTATGTCTGTCTGAGCGCGCTGCCTTTCTGGGGTAGCTTGAAAAAACTAAGCACTGGTTGCCACAGGTTGAAAACCACTCTAGGGAGGAATGGTGCAGCTAATTTTAAGGAAGAATTTTAAGAGGTGGGGGGAAGGCTGCAGGGGAGGACAGTGGGGCTGCTCTTCTGGTGCAGGAGGTGCTGGGGGATGCCCAGAAAGCAATTTAGCTGTGCATTGCTGCCTGCTCCTCAACTGGAAACTGTCTCTGCCTTTAATAGCTACGGACCCAGCATAAAGCAGGCTGCAAAGCAAATTGAATTCTGCAGTAACCCAGGTGGCATGTGATTATCTTCCTCCTCCTGAAAGGCTCCTCATAACTATGGATCAAGAAACCTCACCTTGGCCTGAAAGCTGGGGTCATTGGAGAAACTTGGAGCAAGAGGAATGAATCCGGTGCTAATTTTCTCTTCCTGCCACTGCAGGATTGCAGGTCGGTGGTGGCTGTGACTGCGTTGAAGGAGATGGCCCCAAACTTATGAGCTGAGGCAGCAGTTGTGAGCTGGGGTTGGGGAGAAGGAGTGCTGGTGAGCAGAAAGGATGAAGATGCAGAGGTCCACGCTGTCAGTCTGCCTGATACTAAAGTGTTGAAAATGCTGTAATAACCTAAGAATAGTTCATAGAAACAGTTCTTCTGTGTAGCGTGTCTCCCATAAAGCAGTGGGATGGTCTACCTGTGGCTATCAGCTTCTAGGTCAGCATCTCCTCTTGGTTCTTAGGAATTACCCCCCCAGGGGGGCTGTTACACCCTGCCTGGGGCAAATGAGGGTCAGCAGCTGGCACAAGGCGAGCAGAACCCTTGCACAGATGCCACGGGAGCTGCAAGCCCTGTAGGATCTAGTTTCTCTCAATTCCTGGGTGCTGTTTCCTCCACACTCAGTGTAGCTGGCCTGGCTCAGGGCAGGGGCAGCTTGAGTTCAGGCGGTTGGGGTAAAACACCCTTCCTTCCACGAGGCTGAGTTTGGACCTTGGTGCAAGCGTACGGGGCGAACTGCAGCATCACCTCTTGGGGGTGGCTCTTCTTCCTCTTCCCAAGTGTTTCAGTTAAATACCTGCTTGTTTGAACTGAAGAGGCTGCCGTTGACATGGAAGGGGTGTGAAAATGCCCAGCTCCTTGGCATGAAACCAATGACTTCCTTCTACTGCCTGGTGCCCACGCGCCGAGATGTGATCACCAGCCTCTGCTCCTGGGCTGGAGAAGAGCCTGCGGTCGCCCAGCCGATGAGGAGGAAGTATTTCCTTCATCCGTGTGGTTTCCTATGGTGTGTTCTGAGTCTCGAATGATACATTTCTGACTTGGGCTTGGCTAGAGAAAAAAGGGCTTAGTTGCTTTCTTAAGTTTCCACGAGCGTTGGAAAGAGGAGGAGTGATGCGTTTATGGGCAGGGGCTGTGGTGGGGAAATGGTTCTCTAAATGTAAATGCACTTAGTGTCTTTCTGGCAATATTTCAGTTGGTCTTCACTTTGTTTAAAAAAAAAAAAAAAGTATTCAGCCACATATGTTAAAAGGACTTTTAAGCTATAAAGGCAAAATCAAATGATTGAATGTTTGGGTTTTTTACAAACTGTTTACAACAAAGGTCTTTGCAACTGAAATAATGTGGTTCCAATCACAAGCTAAACAATTCTCCTGACAGGGAAAAGCAACAAGCCTAAGCATTTTCTGGAAAATCCTGCAGCTAAAGGCCAAGCCACAGATATGATTTTCCTGGTACTAAAAGCATATATTGGTATGTTGTATTTTCTTCTGTTGGAGGCAGATTCTTTTATTTTAAGTAGGGCCAGGGGTCCAAAGTAACTTGTGTATGGATGTGAGCTTTTGGAAAGAAACCACCATGCACGTTGGTGGGGTAAGGATGTCAAATTCCCTGGAGCTGAGAGGCTGGGACTGCTGCTGGGTTAGTGCGCATCTCAGATCGACACTCTTTTTTCTTAAATTTGGACAGAAGGTTGCTCATGTCGAACCAAAAATAAGTGGCTTGGTTGGAAATCAGGTGCTCCCTGCAATAACAGGAAAGCTCTAATAAAGCTGTGTCAGAAAGGGTTTGAGTTCCCCCTGCCCCCAAGGCAGAAGAAGCAGGGACAGCTGTGCTTGGCCAGGTTATCGTGTTCAGACTCCGGTTACATGAGTTTACCTATTGCGTGCCCTGCGTGTGACTAGGATAAATGGTTTGAGTGTTCTTGGATTGAATCCCAGAGTAACACTATCAGACGGAAAAGAGTAATATGGTGCTTTAATTTGTAACTCTGCATAAGGTGTTTTGATCTTTTTTTTTTTTTTTGGGAGGGGGGAGCAGATATTCTACCAAGATGCCAGCCTCTGCAGCTCAGCGCCTCAGCCCAGTTATTCTGTATGGTACAGAATTATTGACCATGACAAGAATGAAAAGAAAACCTTTTCTTTTTTTCCTCCCCACCCCAACATGCACCTTCCAAGTTCTTACCAGGTGTCAGTATAATATTTGGGCCATACAGCTCACAGTGAGGTTGGGTTTTTACACTTTGGTTTAAGGTTGGTCTGAGGATAAACAAGTTGCTCTCTCGTCTCAGCCAGATCTGCAAAACATTGCTTTCTGATGTTTGTAAAACTGATGTTTCTGGGCCTGCAGGAGGCATCCCCTCTTACCTGTGCCAGGATGATGATGTTATTTGGGCACAGTAGAGGACAAGTGAAATCTGGTTGCCAGCCACAGGCTCTCAAGATCGAAGAAAATTGTTTTAATTTTGGCCAAAATCTTGCAGAATGAAGAATGCGCCGAGGAAAGGTTAGCTGATCCTGCGTGGTTTTGTTAGTATTCTGGGCTTCAGTCAGGAGATTAATAATGGCCACAGACAGTGTCTCTTCATATTAAAGTGTCTTCACATGAGTAGTTTGGGTGAGTGCAAAAGGACTGCAAGGCACAAGCAAGCTGCCTTGTCTCACCCCAACTGACAATGAGTCAACACTTTAATATAAAGAAGAGACAGTTGGTAACAGTCATTAACATAACAAAGTGCCCTATAGATCACTCCAAATTCATCTGACTGTTTTTAAGCAAATGTTTTCCCCCGAGAAGTGGTAACAGAATAATTTGTTGAATGTTTTGCTGCCTGGGCCGCCCGGTTCTGCGTGGAGTGGGAGAGATGGTCCTGTGGGACGGCTGCTCTGAAACCTCCCAACAGAGACTGGTGTTTTCTTGCAGTGACGGTGTGCTAATTTTTATTTTTTTTAGCCTGATTTCCCATCAAACGTGGACTCATTCCAGACATGTATGGGTTTTGGGTTTGGGTTTGGGTTTGGGTTTTTTTTACCACATTCCCTCTCTGTTGGCTTCTTCTATTGGGCAACTTCAAGAAGATCTGACTTCTGTTAATATAGGTAAGAAGAGAAAGGAGTCAGATGAGCTGGTGATCCTCTGTATGAAGGACAGGCACAGGCTTGGCCACGCTGCTCTGTGCTTGGCCAGGGACCCCTGGATGAGTGACAGCGGGGGGTCCGTGCTGGCAGGATGAAAGATGGGGGAAGCAAGAGGGAAGAAGGAACCAGGGGTGCAGCACTGGTGGCCATCGTGATGTACATCTGGCATTGAAGGGGGCTGAGCAGAGGCTAAGAGTAGCTCCAAGGAGGGAAGAAACGCCACGCACAAGAGCAGGTCTGTTAGTCTGCTGCTCATGGAGAAATTTGCTTGACTTCTGTATGTACCATCACACTGGGATGACACAAGAAATGCACTGGTTGAATGTTCCAAGAAGCCATTGCCTGTCTGCCCAGAGCTACCTGGCTTTGTCTTTGCTGTAACTCACGTGTGTTCTTGAACTAAGGTAAGACTAGGGGTTTCTCCTGGGGTTTCTGAGGGCTGCCTACCGGTGGCGATAGGGCTGGGCTTGTGCTGGCAGCTGCAGTGGGTTTGGATCCTCCTGCTGCCAAGAGGACTTTGCTCCCCAGCAGCCAGACTGAACAGAAGCCCCGATTCCTGGGAATGACGTAACGGAAAGGTTCGGCTCTGGAGAAGGTAAATCATAAGAGTCTGGGACACCTTGCTGGCTGGCACCAAGGGCAGAGAAACC